TGCTAATAGTTTTTAAACAAATTTGTTTCCAATTACAGAACTTCTGCATCAAACACATGCAGACAAAACTCAGAGCCAGCCTTTTGACCGTCTGCATCTGTTTTCATTTGTGGTTCTTGCTCTGAATGCAGTGATTGTGGCTACAATTGCAGCAAAGCGTTTTGTAAATCAACGGATGGAATACAAATACCAGAGGTTGCAGCACCATTGACTAACTGGTTCAGCCCTAAATGAAACACATTTTTCTCTCTGATGCTGAAAGAAATGGTACCTCATGGCTACATAGGTTATGAATAAAACAGGAGGGTCCCTTAAAAGTGATACACAGGGCTTCATGTCATTGTGCCAGTGTGTCTTGTTGCAGGATGACTGAAATCACCAAATATCACATCTGTAAGCTCTCATCTTAGGAATGAAAGGCATTAATGAATGAAAAATCATCTCTTCTCATGAATATAAAACATTTTTTTTTTAAGTTCATGAGATTCAACTCAGGGGCTCTTGGCCACAGAGCCACATCCCCAGCCCTATTTTGAACTTTATTTAGAGACAGAGAGTCTTACCTAGTTGCTTAGCACCTTGCGTTTTGCTGAGGCTGCCTTTGAACTCAGGAGGCTCCTGTCTCAGCCTCCGGAGCTGCTGGGATTACAGGCGTGCGCCACTGCACACAGCAACATAAAACATTTTAAACAAATACTAAATGAAGAGAAAAAGGTTACTTTTACTCAAGAAAAGGAGTCTTCAAAGTTAGGTACTTTCATTTTTTAGATGCTAAAAAAATGTAAATATAAAATGCAAACAAGGAGCAGCCAATATGCTACTGTCCTGCAGGGGCTCAGATTTGGAAAAAAGGTTTGGGATTCTGGCAGTTGAAAGAAGATGTACCAAGGTGCAGCTGGGATGGTAGACATTTTTTATTCGAAGATGGCAGCAGCCCCCAATCTTCTCCATAGGCCTTTTTTTTTTTTTTTAATGTGCAGGCAAACAAAGAAGGCACAGTGCCAATAGGTTACATATATGAGCACATTCTCACAAGCAGATATTCATGACTTTGAGCCCATATGCTGAATCAGGGTGCTTATGACTTTGACTATACAACACAGTGGGCTAGAAGTCTCAGGAAGGGAGCCTAACTCTAGATTCTATATAATCATAGTCTCTAGGTGGTTGCTGGAACACAACACACACAGTTCTGGCTTCTAATGTAAATCCAGCCAATTTCCCGAGTGCCCGACACATGCGTTGAACCCACAGGACGCTGGAGGGAATACACAATGGATATGAGGGACAGTCTGCTCTCACAGGGCCAGTCTTTATCGGCCTGATAACTTTCCAGCTCCATTCCAGATCTTCTTCCTTTTCTTTTTAATATCTTCATGTAGTTATTTTAAGCAGCCATGTAGTGACTCTCTTATGTTCATCATAGAACCTAAATCCAACTACTGCAAACTTTTAAATACTTAGATATTTAATTAGAGAAGGAAAATCACATTCAGTACTTAAAACAGCACACCTGTCTGGCAGCTGCTGCCCTTCAGCCACCTCTTCATCAGGGACTGACCAGAGGTTCTCTGATGGCCAACACGGCAGGTAGGCAGAGGCATATCAGGCCCAAATGTGTAATTCTAAGAAAATGGTCAGGTTTATCAGAATTATCAAGTACTGTGTCTCACTAGAGGGTGAGATCATGTCACCACGAGTCTGAAAGGTCCTCGAGCTGTACTCGTGTGTTTTCAGAATGCACGCTACTGTTTAGAATTTCTTTCTTTAGTAAGCACTATAGGGAGTGATAGAAGGCCCTGGGTGTGAAGGTGGTGACCTGAGTTCTGGTCAGGGATGCTGTTCAGGTCACCTTCAGCCTTGGTCACCACAACTTAAAATAGGGGTTGGTAGCTGCTGCCCGTCCCCACTTTGGGGTGTGATGAGGATTAAAGGAGAGAACGTGCCAGCACTTGGGGTCCTCCGTGCCCCACTCATCACCAGCAGAGTCCTCGGTCCCCACCCCGGAATCCTACTTGGAATCTGCTTCCTAGGGCCACACGAGCACTGTCATAGGTGAGGGTCAGAGAGGAAAACAATCTCTGACGGGGGGGG